AGTACTGAGTCACTGACAATAGATAATATCAAGTTAGGAACAACTACAGGAGCCCTCTGGAGTGCTTGTGTAGTTTATGTTTGTCTTTCTTTTGTACTAGTGTGCTAAATAAAGCTGAACTCATAATTGTTTCTGGTTCATAATGTAATAGCACAGACTAAATGAGAAAGAGCTGGAACTTCCCTTGAATGATTGTTTAGAGCCCTACTCATCTCTCTTTGTCGAATGATGTAGACCAAAATTTAGTCTTCGAAAAATGGATGGGCAAGCATGCCGGAGATCTAATATAATTAGATAAAGATAGGCTGAGAACATGCAATGCTTTCAGTCATTTATGCATTATTATATGCCCAAGTAATTGGCCTTTGATAACTAGGTTTAGATGCATTCAAATTTTGCACTTAGCAAGCAGATTCTGAAATGTGTGAGGTTCTTACCAGTGTTACATGGTTAAAGTTCTTGGCCATCGTTGCTTAGTTGCGAATGTTTGTAGTGGACAAGAATGTAAGTTAAACCAACAGTCAAAGAGAAGTTGAAGGAACCATCAATTCAAAAAAAGTAAAAATGTGTCAGAAAATTCATGATTCTATGAAACGATTTAGATAATAAATCCTGTTTGAAAATTCTTTTATATTGGTAGCACGAAAGGAAGATGGGAGACCTCAAAACTTCCACTTTTTAATTTTTTTTCTTGTGTGGTTTCTTGATTATGTAAGGAATTGTTTGGTAGAAACTTTCTTCTATGTTGATTTATTTGTCATGTTACTAAGTGTAAAGGCATCAAGTATTCTCTCTCTCTCTCTCTATCTCGAGTATGATTCAAGTGTTGTTATAATCTTGTTTTTCAGTTGGTCTATAAATTAAAACATTAAAATCATCAATTTATTTGACCACTTACATTCTGTTTACTATTGTCTTTTAGGAATGGAAAACACATACTGCCTGATTCTTTCGTTTATCTTCTGATTCCAGGTTTGAGAATATCTCTTGGCTTATTGGTTTTGAACATTTGTAATATTTTTGCTTTACATGATCTTCTGCAATTGATTTTCAGGGCTTTTTAGCAATCATGGTCCCTTATATTTTGTGAGCATCAAAAGGTTTTTCTCGAAGATGGGTCTGGCTTGTCATATTGCTAAAATCCACAGTGAGGTATTAAGTTTAAATTCTGTATCACTTTCTTAATTTAACTCTGCTATAATCACTCATTCTTCTTGCGAAGGCATCAGTCGAACGGAATGCATGGGAACTGAAGCAGTATATAGAGGAGCTATACTGGGGTTCAGGAAAACGCATAATGCTGCTTGGTCATAGCAAAGGCGGTGTTGATGCTGCAGCTGCTTTGTCAATTTATTCGCACGAATTAAAGGATAAGGTTGGAGGATTGGCATTGGTGCAGAGTCCTTATGGTGGTACGCCTGTAGCATCTGATATTCTCCGCGAAGGCCAAGTGGCTGACAAGGAAACCCGTAAAATCATGGAGTTTCTAATATGCAAACTGATTAAGGTAACATTTTCCTTTTCCCATGATCAAAACTCATAATATTGGCTGATCCATTAAAGAAGATGGGAAATTATACAGCATAATGTGGTGGTTAGCTTACACCTACTGCGACCTTCCAACTTTAGTCAAACTTGAAACTAGCTATTGAGGGGGAAAATGTGGTCTGAGTCATTTAGTTAACCTACAATTTTGAATGAAAAAAATAATTACTTAAGCCCCTATTTGATTGCCATTATTGAGAAGAAATGATATTTTGAAGAGTGATTTTTTGGATAATGTGTGGTTAAAAAGTTGTTAAAAGTTTTGAGTTTACTTATAAAATATTTTATTGTGTGAATGTGTGGTTAAAAATGAGTATGACAATTAAAGAGTTTTGTTTTAAAAGGAGACAAACTTGGGCTAATTATCTGGGAAATTCATTGTAGGTTTTTATCTACTTGTGATTTTTAAAGAATTAATTTATGATAGATCACTATTTTCACACTTTCTTTTATCATTTTTGGAATTATGTATATTGAGGTCCATGTACATAAGCTAATCAAGATTACAGAGCCAATTGTCACTGAAGTTATTCTATGGTAATAGAACATTTTTATGGTAATAGTCTTAGGGGTGGGTTTATTATCTATTTAAATAAAAAAATATGTCAAAATTAAAGTCACATTAC